GAATTAAGGTGACAGGATTTGGTCTTGCCACCCTTACTTCTGTGCTGATGGTGGCAGGGCACCGCTTTCAGAGCTGGGCACCCAGCCAACAGTCGCTGCTCTCCAGCCACCCAGCTCTGAAGGCAGCGCAGATGTAAGGGTGGCAATACCCCTAAAATAACCTTGTGATCCCCCTGCAACTCCCTTTTGAGTCAGGACTCCCCATTTGAAATCAGTATAGGGTAAAAGCGCACAAAAGACCAGATTTCACAGTCCATGACGTGTTTTTCATGGCCGTGAATTTGGTAGGGCTCTAGTTATGATTTACTGAATAGGATTATCCTACTTGTATGCATGTATCTTTTTGGTATCTGAAGTTAGGAATATTGTCTATGCATCTATTACAAATGGGTTTACACCTGGGGAATGTCCGCTAGACAGAATGCAATCAGTCTAGATGGCAAGCTGGGAAGGACCATTAAGGAGAACAATAGGTCTTAGAAGATGCTAATCTCCCATCCGGGAGCCTGCCTGAGAAGCCTTCCTGGGGATGCTGCAAACAGCCTTAGAGTCATGGCTGCAGTGGCCCTACAGAGACATGTGACCAAGTCACCTGGTACTGGACTCCACAATAGTTTTCTTTGACAGGGTAACAAGCCTTGTGGATGGGGGGAAGGGGTAGACGTGGTATATCTTGACTTCAGTAAGGCTTTCGATACTGTCTCGCATGACCTTCTCATAAACAAACTAGGGAAATACAACCTAGATGGAGCTACTATAAGGTGGGTGCAAAACTGGTTGGAAAACCATTCCCAGAGAGTAGTTATCTGTGGCTCACAGTCATGCTGGAAGGGATAACGAGTGGGATCCTGCAGGGATCAGTTCTGGGTCTGGTTCTGTTCAATATCTTCATCAGTGTGCCAGGTAATGGCATAGAGAGTACACTTATGAAGTTTGCGGACGATACCAAGCTGGGAGGGGTTGCAAGTGCTTTAGAGGACAGGATTTAATTCAAAATGATCTGGACAAACTGGAGAAATGGTCTGAAGTAAATAGGATGAAATTCAATAAGGACAAATACAAAGTCCTCCACTTAGGAAGGAACAATCAGTTGCACACATACAAAATGGGCAATGACTACCTAGGAAGGAGTACTGCGGAAAGGGATCTGGGGGTCATAGTGGATCACAAGCTAAATATGAATCACTGGGTAATGCAGTTGCAAAAGAAGCAAACACCATTCTGGGGTGCATTAGCAGGAGTGTTGTAAGCAAGACACGAGAAGTAATTCTTCCACTCTACTCCGCGCTGATTAGGCCTCTACTGGGGTATTGTGTCCAATTCTGGGCACCACATTTCAGGAAGGGGATTGGTCCTGCTTTGAGCAGGGGGTTGGACTAGATACCTCCTGAGGTCCCTTCCAACCCTGATATTCTATGATTCTATGGACAAATTGGAGAAAGTCCAGAGAAGAGCAACAAAAATGATGAAAGTTCTAGAAAACATGACCCTATGAGGGAAGATTGAAAAAACTGGGTTTGTTTAGTCTGGAGAAGAGAAAACTGAGAGGGGACATTATAACAGTTTTCAAGTACATAAAAGGTTCCTACAAGGATGAGGGAGGAAAATTGTTCTTCTTAACCTCTGAGGATAAGACAAAAAGCAATGGGCTTAAATTGCAGCAAGGGCGGTTTAGGCTGGAGATTAGGAAAAACTCCCTAAACTGTCAGGGTGGTTAAGCACTGGAATAAATTGCCCAGGGAGGTTGTGGAATCTCCATCACTGGAGATTTTTAAGAGCAGGTTGGACAAACATGTGTCAGGGATGGTCTAGATAATACTTAATCCTGCCAGGAGTGCAGGGGACTCGACTAGATGATCTCTCGAGGTCCCTTCCAGTTCTATGATTCTATAATACTAGTGTTTTCCCACTGACTGGGCGTGGGAATCAAACTGGGAGACAAGGGTTCCCGCCATATGCAAAAGCTATTTAAGGCAGGGGAGAGAGGACATCATGGTTCGTTCTTCACCGACTCCCTGCCCAGGAAAGAGGACTGCTGGAAACACCTGAGAACAAAAAGACTGGACTAGGGAAGAAGGGCTGAGCCCAGGCTAGAGGGTGTCTGACTTATGAAAGGAATAACTGCAAGTGCAGCTTGCCCTCAAGAATCTTTGCAATCTGCCTAAAACAACATTTAGGGTGAGAATTTGCTACACCTGTCCACTTTCTTTAGTATATTAAACTTAGATTGCGTTTTGGTTTATTTGCTAGGTAATCTGCTTTGATCTGTTTGCTATCCCTTATAATTGCTTAAAATTAGGGCTGTCAAGTGATTCAAAAAAGTAATCGTGATTAATCTCGTAGTTAATCGCACTGTTAAACAGTAACAGAATACCATTTAAATATTTTTGGATGTTTTCTACATTTTCAAATATATTGATTTCAGTTACAACACAGAATACAAAGTGTACAGTGCTCACTTAATATTTATTTTTGATTACAAATATTTGCACTGTAAAAAAAAAAAGTATTTTTCAATTCACCTCATACAAGTATTGTAGTCCAATCTCTTTATCATGAAAGTTGAACTTACAAATGTAGAATTATGTACAAAAAGTAACTGCACTCAAACAAAAACAATGCAAAACTTTAGAGTCTACAAGTCCACTCAGTCCTACTTTTTGTTCAGCCAATCGCTAAGACAAACAAGTTTATTTACATTTGCAGGAGATAATGCTGCCTGCTTCTTGTTCACAATGTCACCTGAAAGTGAGAACAGGCGTTCGCCGACTTTGCAAGATCTTTGCCAGATGCGCTAAAGATTCATATGTCCCTTCATGCTTCAACCACCATTCCAGAGGACATGGGTCCATGCTGATGACAGATTCTGCTTGATAACAAAGCAGTGCAGACCGACGCATGTTCATTTTCATTATTTGAGTCAGATGCCACCAGCAGAAGGGTGATTTTCTTTTTCGGTGGTTCGGGTTCTGTAGTTTCCGCATATGAGTGTTGCTCTTTTAAGACTTCTGAAAGCATGCTCCACACCTCGTCCCTCTCAGATTTTGGAAGGCACTTCAGATTCTTAAACCTCGGGTTGAGTGCTGGAGCTCTCTTTAGAAATCTCACATTGGTACCTTCTTTGCATTTTGTGAAATCTGCAGTGAAAGTGTTCTTAAATCGAACATATGCTGAGTCATCATCCGAGACTGCTATAATATGAAATACATGGCAGAATGCAGGTAAAATAAAGCCGGAGACATATAATTCTCCCCAAGGAGTTAAGTCACAAATTTAATTAACCTTTTTTTTTTTAAACGAGCATCATCAGCATGGAAGCATGTCCTCTGGAATGGTGGCTGAAGCATGAAGTGACATACGAATGTTTAGCCTATCTGGCACGTAAATACCTTGCAATGCCGGCTACAAAAGTGCCATGTGAATGCCTGTTCTCACTTTCAGGTGACACTGTAAATCAGAAGCAGACAAATTTATGTCCCGTAAACGTAAACAGACTTGTTTGTCTGAGCAATTGGCTGAACAAGAAGTAGGACTGAGTGGACTTGTAGGCTCTAAAGTTTTGCATTGTTTTGTTTGAATGCAGTTATGTAACAAAAAAAATAAATCTGCATTTGTAAGTTGCACTTTCACAATAAAGAGATTGCACTACAGTACTTGTATGAAGTGAATTGAAAAATGTTGTTTCTTTTATCATTTTTACAGTGCAAATATTTGTAATCAAAAATAATAATATAACATGAGCACTGTACACTTTGTATTCTGGGTTATAATTGAAACCAATATATTTGAAAATGTAGAAAAACATCCAAAAATATTTAATAAATTTCAGTTCGTATTCTATTGTTTAGCAATGCGATTAAAACTGATTAATCGTGATTTTTTTAATCACGATTAATGTTTTTGAGTTAATCGCGTGAGTTAACTGCGATTAATCGACAGCCCCACTTAAAACCTATCTTTTGGAATTAATAAACTTGTTTTGTTTTGTCTAAGACCAGTGTGTGTGTGTGGAAATCATAACTTGGGGCAGAAAGCTGTCTCTATTCCTCTCCACACTGAGGGAGGGGGCGACTTTCAGGAGCTTACGCTGTGCAGCGCAAGATGGTGTAATTTTGGGTTTGCCCTCTAGAGAGGGGTGTGCACTTGAGTGCTGGGCAGTTCCTTAGCTGAGCCTTCCCATGCAGAGCTGATCTCAGCATGTGTGTGAATCTGCAGCCACCAGCAGCCCCCGATCAGCTCCCACCCACGCCCCGGTGCCTCCTGCCCACCAGTGGGCCCCATGGGTCAGCACCTCGCCCTCCCTCCCCGCACCTCCTGCCCGCCATGAACAGCTGTTTCGCGGCGTGCAGGGAGGCTGGGAGGGAGGAGTGGGGATAGGGCGCGCGAGAGGGCGGGGGTGTGGTGGCAAGAGGTGGGGTGGGGCCTTGGGGGAAGGAGTGGAGTGGAGGCGGGGCCTGGGGTAGAGCCGGGGGTCAAGCACCCACCAACAGTTTGAAAAGCCGGCGCCTTTGCTGGGGGGTCCGGTGGGCTCAGTGGTGCCTCACGCAGCGCCCTCCCCCACACAGCCCCCAGATCCACCCCAACAATGCATCAGCAAGCATGCAGCGCCCTCCCCCACACAGCCCCCAGACCCATCTCTCCACGCCACACTCCCCATGCTCCACCCACGCCGTGACCTCCTGCATGCCCCACAAACACCCTGACCCCCAAAGAACACAGCCCCTCATCCCCTACCCACACACGAGGGGGGCACAAATCCTCCCACACCTCCCCTGAGAACCAAGTCGAGCCCAGCCCTTGCCTGTGCTCCTCAATCTGCTCCTCGCGCTCCCGATAGCGCCTCTCCCGCTCCTCCTGCTCCATGCGCTCCTGCTCCATGCGCTCCTGCTCAAAGCGCAGCCGCTCCTCCAGCACCTTCTGCCGCTCCTCCTCCTTCCGCAGCTCCTCCTCCTTCTGCGGGGGCAGGCCGTCAGCCCTGCAGGGCGCCCACCCAGGCCAAGGGGACCCTGCCTACCTGCCCAATGGGGACCCCATCCACCCACCACAGCTCACAGGGGCCCCTGCCTGCCCCAGGCCCTGCAGGACACCCCCACATACACCGTGGAGAGGCATCAGAGGGGCCATGCTCAAGGACAATCTCCTGCTCAGCAGCCAGAGCTGGGCAGAGTCACAGAGAGGTTTTTGGGGGGACTTGGGGCAAAACCTGACAGTGAACCCCTAATCCCTCCCCATTCCAAACCAACTGGCACTGCAGGGATGCTGGAGAGCAAGTCCGGCCCATTCACCCTGCAGCAGCAGCTCCTGTTCCCCGGGCTGGGCCCAGCTCAGCGCTCCGAGCACCGCGCCCTGGTGCGTCCCCGGCTCCCGGCACCGCGCTCTGATATATCCCCCTGGCTGGACCCGGCTCACCACTCCCAGCACCGCGCCCTAGTGTGTCCCCGGCTCCCGGCACCACGCTCTGATGCATCCCCCTGGCTGGGCACGGCTCCCTGCTCCGAGCACCGCGCCCTAGTGTGTCCCCGGCTCCCGGCACCATGCTCTGATGCATCCCCCTGGCTGGGCCCGGCTCCCCACTCAGAGCACCGCGCCCTGGTGCATGGGGTCGCAACACCGCTCAGGTTTGGCCTGGCTACCCCAGACACCACTTGGTTTAGGGGAGCTCTCAAGGGCAGGCCCGGGACAAAGGCAGCCCTGGGCATGGGCCACACATCCCAGCCACAGGTGGTGAGCAGTGCAGAGGACAGAAGGCAGCGTCTGGGCTGAGGGCAGCTCAGGCTTTGCAGAGACCTGCGGGCTGGGCCAAGCCAGGGTATATGGGGTGGTGGTGCCCCAAGACTGCTGCCTCTGCCCCATGGCAAGCCCATTAGCTGACCCTCACTGGCCCTACCTTGGCCTGTTCCCAGAACTGCTCCCGGTTGAGCCGTTTCATCTCCACAGCCGCATCGGTCTTCTGATAGGTCGTGCCCTGGAACAGACGGGGGTCAGCGGGGTGCAGCAGTGCCCCAGCATCAGTGGGGGGGGCAGAGCCTGGCGGTGCCCTGGGATCAGCCCCCCATGCTGGAGCCAGGCAGCATGGGGCCACAGGGCTCTACAGGTGCCAGATAAGGGCCCGTCTCCCCAGTCCCACAGCTGAGCCCCCCAGATCCTGAGCAGTGGGTCTGGGCCAGGCGGCTGGGGATGGCTGGTGGGGCAGGTTCTCTAACCTGCTGGGGAGAGGGATGCAGGTGGGGGACCGGGCCGGGGCTCCCCCTCCAGCCCGGCTGAGGCAGGCAGGCTGGACGCGGGGCCTTACCACGGGCTCGGTGTTCTCGTCCTCTCGCAGCCGCAGGCGGTGCAGCACGGGGCTGGAGATGCGAGCCAGGCCGTTGGAGAGGCGCTGCCCGATGGCCCCCGGGTCCACGTCCTCCACGCTGCTGGCATTGACGATCACATCCACACCCTGCACCAGGAGAGCAGCATGGGAGAGCCGGGCCGGCTGGCATGGGGGGGGGGAATCTGAGCCGACAGCTGCACCGCCCCAGCCCAGCCTCTGACACGCCCCCAGCGTGGTGCCAGCCCCGCTCCTGGCCCCAGCACTGCCGTGCTCCTGCCTCTGGGCGCCTCAGGGTCCAGCTCCCCTGGGCTGGTCCGTGCCTGCCCCCCGCCCCCTCCCCGGGGCTCCGAACGAGCCTAGCTGTGAGCTGGCCAGCGGAGGGGTGCGGGGTCCCAGCGGAGCTGGCGGCGAGGGGGAAAGACAGAGGGAATCAGTGCGAACCCAAAAGCCTCGTGTGTAAGGCTCCTGCCTGGGGACCGGAAATTCTGCTGGCCCAGATTGTCTCCCGCAGCACTGCTGCGAGCCGTGGCCAGTACACGTTTGCCAGGCCTCACCGTGCTGGGCCAGGGAGGCTGCGTGTTTCAATGTCACTCCTTTCTCTCCCCTCTGCGCGTTTGCCTTGGTCCAGCCCCACGGGAAAGGGACCCGCAGCTCCGGCCCAGCCCAGCTCACGCCTCGGGCAGTTCCCAGCCTCGGGGCTGTCGGACAACGGTCTGCCCCTTTCCCGACTGCAGCCAGAGGAAGGGAACGAGGGACGGTGCAGAACGAAAGCCTGGCTTGATGATCACATTTCAAAGGCTCAAACTTTTCTTTTTCTGTCTCTTCAGCAAAGGGTCCCCAGGGGGTGGTTGATGGGGGGTAGGTGCGGGAGGGGCTTGGCAGGGCCTTTGCCTGGCACTCAGCAGCCCCAGGGCTCTGGATACCAAACCCAGCCCTTGTTTAACCCTGTTTAACCTTGGACAGCGGCAGGGTCACGTTAACACCTCAGACTCTCTGGGCCTGTTACTGCACCCCAATTAATCCAGACCCCCCCCCACTGACCTGGAAGAACTCTGCTATCTTGGCCACGTGGCTGGCACAGGCGCACTTGCGGGCATCGGCCACGTCCTCCCCAACCTGCCAGGGCACGGAGAGCAGAGTGAGACGGGGGCTGCAGGGGGTGCCAGGGCCGCAGTGAGGAGTGGCCGGGCAATGACAGATGGTGCTTGCTCAGCGTCTCCCCTGACACCCGCTTCCTAGCTTTGGTGCCCCAGACAGGGCGTCCCCTGCCGGGCTGGGAACGGGCACGGGGCGGCTCAGACAATGGCAGGGCAGAGCCGTCGGAGCATCGCTTTCTGACGGGCAGGTGCAGAGCTCCGTCCTGCACCTCAGGTGCTCGAGTGACGCTCCGCACCACCGTGGTGGCACCACACCCCTGCTCAGACTTGGGTGGGCCTGGATGCTACGTGGGTGGGGCGCAGCCCACCCAGGCTACACTCCTGGAGTCTGGAGACCCCCCTCCACCCAAGCCCAGCTGGGTCCAGTGAGGGATGCAGAGGTCCACTAGGTGGCAGCACAGGAGCATGACGGGCACTGAGCCCAGGAGGGATCCCTGGGGCCCGGTGCATTAGGGCCCCGCCACGGCCCCGCCCAGCCTCCAAGCCCAGGGACTCTGGAGATGGGGGCGGGGCGGTATTCCTGGATGTTCAGGCCACGCAGGACCGTCCCTCTGAGCTCTGGCAGGCCGGAGAGCACAGAGCCCCTGGGTCAGCCAGACAGAGGGGCCAGCCTGGATTTACAGACTCCAAGCAAGGCAGAATCCGCCCCGGCCTGCAGCAAGGACATTCCCAATGAACTCCAGTGGTCAGTTCCCCTCCCTGTTCCCCATCGGCGCCTCCGGGCCTGTCTGGCTTGTGTCCTGTCCCGTCTCCAGGCACCAGCTCTCGTTCTGCCTGGAACCCACACCGGACCCTGAGCCTCATCATCCCGAACGCGATGCTCTGCAAACGGGCTCAAAGGAGGTGTCCCTCCCCGCAGGCCTGTGCCGGTCCCCCTGCCGCCCCACCCCCCTCCAGGCAGCCTGCGCCGGTCCCCCTCCCCCGCTGGCCCTACTCACCCAATTGACCAGGACGTATTTGGGCAGCGCTGCCTGGGGCTCTTTGACACTGCAGAAGCCGTACATCACCTTCTGGTTCTCAAAGCGGCCAGCGAGCTCCTGCAAGCCGCCTCCTGGCAGGGCAGGGCAGGGAGGAAGCACAGTCAGTCAGTCTGTCCTACACAGGGGGCGGGGCAGGGAGGAACCACAGACAGTCTGTCCACCCTGCCCCCCAGGTGTCAAGTTTTTTGGGGGAGGGGTGTTTAGGCTCCCTCAACCCCCCAGAACTGCAGCCCCCAAGGTGCAGCCCCCCGTTGGCAGGAGGGAGGGAACCCCCGTGGGTGTTGGCTGGGTGGCAAGGTCAGCAGAGTGAGGTGGGGGGGCTGGGGTCCCCTTACCTCCCGACGCAGCCAGCTTCAGGTCGTCAGACTCATCCTCGTAGGTGTACAGAGCCCTGGGGGAGGAGAGCGCGTGAGGGCCAGTGAGTCTCCAGCTGCACCCCCTGCGCCTGCACCAGACACGGGGGGTGGGGGGCCCAGCCGCAGCACCCACTAGAGCCCGCTCACCAGGGGACCTGCACCCCCTACCATACACAGCGCACCTGCCAGCCCCGCCCAGAGGAGGGAACCCCCCCCATAGCAAAGGGGAAAGACGAGGCTGGGGGGTGCCGGGCATGGGCCAGAAGCTGGCACACCCTGTCCCCCAGCAGCTGTGGAGACCTCAGCCCTGGGGAGGAGATTCCCACGGGCGAACCGGGATGGGGTCGGGGAGCTGTGACCCCCGCACTGGGCACTCCAGGCCACGCTGCATGACCCCTCCCTCCACCCAGCCGCGTGGCCTCACGCTGACCCTGCGGGCTCCCATGGAGGGGGACGCGGGGGCCCCCAGCAGAGCCCGGCTCCCAGCAAGTCTCTGCCACTGGCACCAGCCTTTCACCTCCCCCCGAGCACAGCAAGTCTCAGCAGCACGGCCCAGCCCCCCCAGCAGCGCCCCTCAGCCTGGCCCAGCTACCTGGGCACTGGTCCCAGCGCCAGCAGGGGAAGGGAGGCACCAGAGGCCCGGGGAGAAGCCTCCACGTGGCTGCTCCCAGCAAGACGGGGGGCGGAATCCAAGTGCCAGCCACCTGGGGGCCTGTGAGCAGGAAGTGGGGGGTGAGCCACCCCCACCCCTGGGCTTCGGGCCCTGGCGGAGCAGCCAATGGCCAATAGGCTGGTGTCAGGGACTGGCAATGAGAAGGGGGCTGGGGCCTGGCTGCCGAGCAGGTCCTTTTCACCCCCCCCCCGCCCCGGCAGCGTGGTGGCCGGACACCTATGAGCCGGGGGCATGGGGGAGGGGACCAGGAGTCACCCGTCTGGGGCCAGTCAGTGATTATTTACCCAGGGCCCCCTGGGACTAGGGCAGCAGCACCCCCCACAGGACGCAGCGAGAGCTGCTCACGTTCCCGGGCTGCGTGAGCCCCTGGCAGGGAGCAGGAGGGAATTAAAGCAGTAGCAGCAAATCAATGAGCCTTCAGGGTGTGATGGGGGCTCCATGGAGACGGTTTCTTGGATACCGGCCCCTCTCCGGGCTGTGCTGGGGAAGGCCCCCTCCCCCCGCCCCCTGCCCCACAAGAAGCCCTGCGGTCTTTGCCCTCCTCTGCATCCCCTGCACCCCACGGCGGCCCCTCTTCAAAGGCGGGGGTGGGCAGCCGGCAGAGTCGGTCCAGGACTGGTGGGCGAAGACAGGGAAATTTCAGCTTATCTAGGCAACCAGCATCCTCTGTCTCCATGGCAACCACCCAGCTCTCCAGCTGGGATGGCGCTCACAAGATGAGGAGATGATTAGTGGGAGAAGCGGGGGAGGCGCTGGTGTCTGGCAGGCGTCCGAGCGGGGGCATTAGCTGCTGTACTCTGCCCCCGCGGACCCTTCCCCTCCAACACATCTCGCTCCCCACTGCAGACTGGCCCCCCGGCCCCCGAGCTGGACACCTTTCCCCATCCCCCCAGGCGGCTGAGGGACACTCTGTGGAGCCTGGGGCATTTGCAGAATCACCACATTCCCCATCTGCTGAGCTGGGATCCCCTCCCCCAGCTCCCCATCCGCCTGAGCTTCCGGGGTCCGGGGGGGGGAAGGGCCACGTGAGCCCAGGGCAGCTTCGTGGCCCCCTGGACTCATCCTGGGAGGGGCAGTCAAGTTAGCCCCCGGAGGCCCAGAGCAGGGGAGGGGGAAATCACAAGCCCTGGCCTGAACCCCAGGCCCCACCCCTCCCTGGGGGCCCCCCAAGGCAGGGCTAACAAGCCCCGTTCATCCCTCACATGCCCCAGCTCCACAGGTCCCCGACCATCAGCACTGAGGGCCCCCCAGCCCGCGGCCCAGCAAGGGCCATGCCAGCAGGAGCCCCTAGCCCAGGGGAGGGCAAACTACGGCCCGGATCCAGCCTGTCAGGGCTTTCAATCCGGCCCGTGGGATTGCCAGCCCCATGGCACAGTGGGGCTAAGGCAGGCTTTCTGCCTGGCCCCGCGCCGCTCCTGGAAACAGCCAGCACCACGTCCCCGCGGCCCCTGAGGGGGGAGAAGAGGGCTCTGTGCGCTGCCCTCGCCTGCAGCTACCACCCCCTGCAGCTCCCATTGGCTGGGAATGGGGAACCACGGCCAGTGGGAGCTTCAGGAGTGGTGCCCGCAGGCAAGGGCAGCACGTGGCGGAGCCGCCTGCCCCACCCCACCCCCAGGAGCCACTGCTGGACATGCTGGCCACTTCCGGGAGCGGCGCGGGGCCAGGGCAGACAGGGAGCCTGCCTTAGCCCCGCTGCGCGCCACTGCCACCCCAGAGCCGCTCGAGGTAAGCAGTGCCGGGCCGGAGCCTGCACCCCGAACCCCTCCTGCACCCCAACCCCCTGCCCTGGCCCTGCATGCAATTTCCCCACCCAGACGGGGCCCTCGGGCCAAAAAGTTTGCCCACCCCCACCCTAGCCCCTCAAGTGGGATGCTGTTGCCAGGCCTCGCAAGCACCCACCCCACGGAGGCGCCCCCCCCCCCCCCCCCCCCCGCACCGGGTGCTACCCCCCACCACCTTCCACCCCGGCCCTCAGGCTGCTTGTGGTTCTTGCCGGCGTTCCCAGCCCCCCCCTTTCACCAGCAGAGCCCAAACCCAGACGTGGGCGCAGACTGCTCCCCCATTCCCACAGGACCCAGGCATGCCAAGCACTGGGTGGGGGGACAGGAGCAGCTGCACGACTGGGGTCCGACAGCGCCCAGGCAGCCCGCCCCCCAGTTCCTGAAGCAGTGCAGAGCTGGCAGTACCGGGAGCACCCCCCCTCCCCGAGACACAGATAATGGCATAAGGGAGATCAACGTTAATCCCCAAATCCAAATCTCCCAGATTGGCAGCTCAGGACACAGGCTCCTCCCCAGCCCAGGCTGTGTCCGCCCCCCCTTCGATCCGGATGGCCCTGGACTCTGCTCCAGCCCAGCCGCAGGGGGAATCACAGGGACCCTTCAAATCCCAGCCCACCACACCGGGGCACCAGGACACTGGCCTGCCTGGCAGTGGGGAGCCCACGGGGTCCTGCCCCCCGACGAGCGCCGCGAGCCGCGACCAATTCCCTGATCCAGCCCCCGGCTCCAATGTGACCAGACAAAGAGCGGGCCCAGCCCCAGCCTGCACAGACCCCCCCCCCCCCCCCGGCCCCCCCCCCCCCCCCGCACAGACTGCCCCCCCCCCCCCCCCCCGCCACACCGGGCCCAGCCCCAGCCTGCACAGACACCCCCCACACACTGGGCGCTGCCCCCCATGCACAGCCCCCTCCCCCCCACACCGCCCCAGTGCCCTGCCTGTCCCACACCAGGGCACTGCCCCCGCCCAGTGTCCAGTGCCATGCGACGCCCTGCCCCCCCACCGCAGCAGGAAACTTCCTCTCCAGCCCTGCCCCTCCCCGCTGCATGCCCAGCCCTGGCATCCGAGGCCCTCCCCACCCCCGCACAGGGGGGCTGGCAGATGGAGACACCCACAGGCTGGAGCTAGAGGAGACTCGAGGGCTGGGACGGCACCGCTTGGATTCAGCCAGCGTGAGTGGCACTGCCGACGGGGGAGGGGCGGGCGGGGGGGGCGACACCAGGGGAGCGGGAGCAGTGCTGCGGGGAGAACATGGGTGCACCAGAAGCATGGGGGTCACCGTGGGGCAGGGAGCCTGGGTGCGGCTGAGGGATTCTGGGTAATTTCCTTCCCCCCAACACTTGCATGGCTGGGTCAGTGCCCAGGCTGCCCGAGCCCCCTCTTCACAGAGGGTGGTACGGATCTGCCCAATGGCACAGCACCAAGCCCTGCTTCCCGCACCGAGCCTGACCCGGGGGGAGCGTGGCCGGGAGTCCGGCCTGGCCCGGCCCAATCACAAACCAGCCTGACCTTCCATTAACTCACACAACGGGCGGCTAATTTTATCAGCTTCGCCTCCCTGTGCCTGGCCCCGGGCCAGCGGTGCAGTGCTGGGTAAGCGAGCCGCACGGGCACCTCTGCAGCCCGCCAGTGGCGGGAGGCTCCCAGAGCCCAGGGCGGATGGGACGAGGTGACCGGAAGCAGCCAAGGAGGGAGAGACACAAAGCGCAAAGGTAGATGTGGGCAGAGCACAAAGGCCCAGAATGCGCCTGCCCCGCTGCCCTCCCACACGCTGCGAGCACCTGAGCTGCTCTGCCTCCCGGCTCCTGCAGCAGAAAGTTCCACAGGCCACTGCTGCCCCATGCACCACATGGGCTGTCGGACCCCTCCAGCCCCCTCGTCCAGCCAGGCCTTCGCCCCATTGGCACCATCTTCCGCGACACGGAGACCTGCGTTCCCTCGAAGCCGCACGGCCGCGCACGGGGGCTCAGGGCTGCGGCGGGGAGAGATGCCCCTCCCCGCTGGCCCCAGCGTGGACCTGTCCCGGACTTGCCGCGGCCAGCCGGGGAGAGGAGCCCCTCCCTCAGCCCCACTGGAACTGCCACGGCTGGGGAGAGGCACCTCTCCCCGCCACAGCCCTGGGTCAGCCTGCACCCCAAGCCCCTCATCCCCGGCCTCACCCCAGAGCCCACCCACCCCCTGCACCCCAACCCTCTGCCTCAGCCCTGAGCCCCCTCCCGCACCTCACTCCTCTGCCCCAGCCCTGAGCCCCCTCATCTCTAGCCCCACCCCAGAGCCCTCATCTCCCCGCACCCCAATCCTCTGCCCCAGCCCTGAGCCCCCTCCCACACCCCAAACCCTTCATCCCCGGCCTCACCCCAGAGCCTTCATCCCCCCGCACCTCAACCCTCTGCCCCAGCCCTGAGCCCCTCCTGCACGCTGAACCCTTCAGCCCCACCCCCACCACATGAACTTTGTTATGTGCACCAATATGAAGGTGATGGGTCACACATAAAATTAATTCCGCACATGGACGTAAAACATTCGAGGGAACCCTGGCAGAGATCCCTACTGCCACTGCCTCGCCCAGAGCTCCGGCGTAAGTCACTGCACAGCCAGGCCAGGGGGGTGCCCAGGATGTTGGGACCCTGCGGGGAGGCAGCAGGGACAGAGCTCCTGGGCCACCCCATGGGGAAAGGACCTGGGATCCCCAGGGGAGGGGGATCGTCCTCATGAGACCCTCCCTCGAGTGTCCCTTTGTCAGCCCCTCTGCTGCTTCTTGCACCCCAGCAGCCGAGCCAGCGCCCCCCAGTGGCCTTGGAGCAGCACCGCGCCCTGCCCCGCCGTCTCTCACAGCACATAGGACGGGGGCAGCACCTTGCACAGCCCGGGCTCGGGGCCCAGCAGCCAGCGAGGGGGGAAGCGGAAACCACGGGCCCAGGACATGCTTCAGACACGCCTGCGCAGAGTATGAATGGGGCATGGGGCAGCCCTGTTCCGACCCCCGCGCCCCATGGCCTGGAGGGGGAGAAGCCCCGTCCCCCAGCCCCAGCCCGGCCCAGGCAGCCCCAGCCTGCGCACATGTGTTTCCAATGCAGCCCCAGCGAGTCACTGCAGGGAAAACAGCACCGAATTCCTTTCCTATGGAGTAATGGGCCCAGCCGCCTCCACCAGGCAGGGAGGGGGAGGGGCCGCTCTGACCCCGGACCCTCCGGGACGCTCAGGGGAGGGGAAGCCCCAGACTAAACATCCCCTTCCCTGTGCTGAGCAGCCCTGGGATGGGAGCCCCGTCTGGGCAACAAGGCCGGCCGTGCTTAGCAACGCTAGCTCCCTCCATGGCCCCATACCAGCCCCGGTTCCCTGCTCTGCCGAAGCCCCTCACGCCCGGCCCGCAGCCCCTGCTACCCCAGCCCTGGGCTCCCCACAGCTCTGCCGGTGCCCCTCACGCCTGGCCCGCAGCCCCTGCTATCCGAGCTGAACCCTGAGCACAGAGCATGATGCCCAGGCCCTGAGAACAACTCATGCACAGTCTCTCTCCCAGAGGATTGTGGAGTGCCCCCCCCCCCCCCACACACACACACCACCTCACCCCACCCCATCCCCAGCCTCCTCCCGGTGCACCCAGCTTCCCCAGCAGAGAGCCCGGCCCCTGAGTTAGAGCTTTATAAAGGAACAATCAGGCCCAGTGGTTGGGGCCGCTGCCCCTCCCAAGAAGCTGCCAGGTTCCCAGGGCTGTCAGCCCCAGAAGCACCACACGCCCAGCAGCGACCTAGAGGGAGGGGGCAGAGTGCCCAAAGGAGGGAGCAAGGCCTAAACCCCAGCGAGCGAGTCCTGCTCCCGCCCCAGCCTGGGCAGCCGCGGCTGAAGCGGTCCTCTGGCCCCTGGGCGGGCTGCACTCACCCCAGCCACGGGAGAGGTTTCTGCAAGCTCCTGTGTGGGGCTGGTCTCTGGTCTGTGCTCCCCAGGCGGCCGGACAACGGCGTCTCTGAAAGCCTTGGGCCCCGACCGGGCTCGTCCGGGTGGGTGGGGAGGAGGTGACCAGAGCGCACGGCTGCCGGGGCTCTTGTTATGCAGCACACAGCATGGCTGGCTGGGGGACTGGCTGCATAAGGAGCCCATTGTTCAGCCCCTGGCCGGCCCGTGCTGCATGCGCAGAGTGTTTCCCGGGGGACCATCTCCAGTGGGCAGACTGGGCCCTGGCACCCCAGCTCTCGGGAGCGCTCCCTGCCCTGCCCCTGCCCCTTCCCATGGTGCAGCCCCCACTGCCCCCGGGGGCCAGACGGGCCCATGCGGGGGCTGCTCAGCTCAGCCTGAGCCACAGGGGGGCGGCCTGGAAGGGGGGTCCCAGCCAGAGAGCACAGCGGAGTCTGTCAGAAGCCAAGCCCCTGGTCGGTCTGAGCAGAGATTTGCTGCCCCCCTGGGGGTCGCCCCCCTTTGATGAGCAGTGACGAGGCTCAGTCAGACAGGCCAGAAGGGCCCCGCTGGACGGGGTCCTGGCCGTGACCTCTCAGGGACGGGGTCCCGCCAGCTGCTGGGGGAGAAGCCAATGCCCCTGTCTGCAGGATTAGCCAGGTGCAGTGTGCCCGCCACTCCCCAGGGGCCAGCAGGGCAGACCTCAGGCTGGAGAGGGACTGAGCAGGGCGGGACCTGGCTTCCTTTTCAGCCTGGTCTGCCCGGGTGGGCACTCAGCGCTGGGCAGGGGGCAACGAGGGTCTTATCCTGCTGCCTGGCACATGCCGTCTCCGGCCTCATCCAGCCTGTCTCTGGTTGGACACCCCCTGCCCAGGTGCCCGCACGGCTCTGCCAGGCCCGCCCGACCCATCTCTGGTCTGAGCCCGGCCGCCTCCCATCCCACTTGGGCAATTGCTCAGCAGCCCCATGTGACATCAATGGCCGCTGGGCCAATCAAATGCCACTGGATCAATCTGCATCCTGCAATCAGATTGGCTGCAGGCTGGGCCTCACCCCACAGTGGCACCAGGCCCCATGTTTGGCGCGCACGGGGCAGCAGCCCCAGAGCCAGCCAGGACGTGCCAGGCCCTTCGGCCTAGGAGCCTCGCGCTCCCGGGGCCTGGATCGCGTCTCGCCAGCAACAAGCCCCCTGCTCCATGCCAGAGCAGCCCCCGACCCCAACCCACGACTCTGGCCATCTCCAAGGGCTGGTGGACGCCCGGCCCCTAGGTCACTGCTCCCCTCGCCGCCAAACCCGGGGCCTTGGCTCCAGCCACCTTTCCATGCAGCAGCCCCCAGGCCAGGAACAAAGTCTCCCCTTCGCCTGGGCCCCCATGCAGCCCCAGAGGCTCCAGCCTGCCCAAGGCCGGGAGTCCACCTCAGCCCCAGGGGCTCCACTCCATCCCCAGTACTGCCTTTAGCCTGGTACCTCAAGCCCCTCCTCCCTGCACACCCCACGGAGCTTCCCCACTTCGCCCCCGGCCCAGACCTAGCGCTCCAGCCTCGCGTCACAAAGCAAGTCAGAACTCGCTTGGGCCCACGCTGGCCCCAGCCTCCAGCTCCCCTCACCCCCCCTTGCCGCATCAGCCGCTCACTGGCCGTCTCCCCGCAAACCTCTGCGCCTGCTCCCTGGCCCTCGCCCCAGACTCCCATTATTGTTCAACGGTAACATGGTTGGGGAGGGGGCAGTGGGTGGGGGCTGCTGCCCCTCCAAGGCCCCGGGGTCTGTGTGGGAGGAGAGCGGCTGACGTGCTGCTGGCCCTTTACCAGGGCAGGGCCAGGAAGAAGGGCAGCACCCCACTCCTTGGCAGAGGGGCGAGAGAGGCAGGGAGCGGAGCAGAGCAGAGCAGAGCAGCAGGGGATGAAGTGCAGACTCGCTGGGAGGGCCTCGTGGGTGCACAGCGGCAAGGCAGGGAGCAGGCCCCGGGGCTCACTAACGGCGGAGCCGGCCGCCAGCCAGGCCATCCGGCAGCTGGAGGAAGATGCAAAAGGGGCCAAGGGCAAGATTCCTTGCACAGAGCGCTCAGCCAGGGCCAGCGGGCGGGAGGGACCGAGCGGCCAGGCCAGGGAGCAGAGCCTCACTCATGTGCAAGCGAAGGCAGACTGATTTGGGGTCATTTATTGGGGGGAGGGGGCAGACCCAGCTGAGGGGAGATGCCAGGGAGATGGGTGTGGCTGGGTGGGCGTGGCTTCAGGGGCCAGACAGTGCAGATCCTTTTCCCAGGCCTGGTTGGCTCGGACCAGCGAGTGGGGGCAGAGAAAAGCTCCAGGCCCGACAGCCCAGGGAGCCGCCGGATGTAGCCATGGCCCTGCATGGCTGCTAGCCATTTGCTTCCCTCCATGCCCTGGACAAAGCCCCGACGCAGGCGTGTCTGGCCAAGGGGCTGCGTCGCTATTTCACCCCCAAAGGGGGGTGTCAAAACCAAGAGACTTTGCACCCTGAGACCCTGCTCCCACATGAACATCCCGAGGCGCTGAAGCCCTGGCCAGCCTGCGCAACGGGGCAGGAAGGCACCAGCCTGGCACCTCACAGGCCATTGGGGAAGGACGACTGGAAAGAGAACCCACAGCGATGGGACACGTTAAGAAACCGGGGAGAGCCTGGGGGGCAGGACCGGAGCCACGGGGCCTCTTTGCCCAAAGACCAAGACTCGGCTGCCCCGGAGCACGTGGCGAGGCCATTCCCCAGCCTGGCCAACACGGAGCAAGCGCCAGCCCCAGGAACGCCGAGTGAAGACCAACGGCACAAGGAACCCCGAAGGTGCCAAACTGCTGCCCAAGGTCCCAAGAGCCCGGGCTCCCAGCACCGAGTCCACCTACTGGGGCCCATTAGACAGAGCCGCCCGCCCCACACCCCAAGGTGCTGGGCAGGTCTGGTGACCTCGCTGCCCCCTCCCGCAGGCTGAGGTCACAGCCCCTCCATGCCAGCCAGCAGGTCCCGGCACCCCCCATCTCCCCAGCGCAGGTGGAACCTTGCTGGCTCCGGTTCGGGGCCTGTGGGCCCGTCTCCAGCACGGGAACCAGCCACTCCAGCAGGAGGCAATGGGGGGGTCCCTCCAGCACAGGCAGGGGGGAAAGTGGGGAGACGAAAGGAAATGGGGCCTCCAGAGCTGCCCATCCCCAGCGGGTGCCTGGTGGGCCAGGGCCTCCCCGGCAGGAGGCGATGGGCCTGC